ACAAAATTTAGCTTAAGTTTGAGATTCTTGTATTGGAGTGATCTCTGTTAAGCTAATTTATGCATGTTTCTTAACTGATATATTCTCCATATTAAATTGAAGAAATATAGTGCCATAAAGAGCATGTAATATAATCATTCATTATATTACTTGAATTGACTTGAGCCAATGACCTGAAGGTTATTACTACACCATTTCATCTGCTTGGTGTATACATTTATGAGACTTATATAGGGCCAGCCCTGATGGCGTGGTGGTTAAAGTTCAGCACTCTCACCATTTCAGCAGCCTGGTTTTACTTCCCAGTCATGGAACCATACCACACGTCTGTCAGTTGCCATGCTAAAAAAAAAAAAAAAAAGAAAAAAAAAGAGGAAGATTTGCAACAGATGTTAGCTCAGGGCAAATCTTTCCCTGCAAAACAAACAAACAAAAACTTATGTAAAAGCTGTAAAAAACCCCCGAAATTCTGAAAATACAATATTGCCTAGAAACAGATGTTGGTTTTCTTTTCTGTAGTCACTAGAAAGTTTGTCAGTCACTGTAATGTGTGGAATGTGTGGAAAGTACCACAGTGAATCCAGAGTCATAGAATGTTTCCTGAGCAATTCCTTAGTTCATCAAATATTTAGTGAGCATGTGTTGTGTTAGGTGTTGGAGATACAAAAGTAGTAAGACATTGTCCCTGTGTTCAAGGAGTGGGATCTGGATGATATGAATATATCCACAAATGAGTTATGTCAGGTGATAAGTGCTGTATTATATGAGTAAAGAGCTTTATGAGCATTAGGGAGTAATTATTTCTGCCAGGAGGTTGGGGTAAGAATGGGAAAAATCTGAGAGCTAGGGAAGGCCTCATACAAGAGGCGATAACTAGCTGAGCTTCAAGAATGATTAAGTTTTACTAGGAGGAATAGGACTTTGCACCTATCGGAAGGTATTATGGTAGAGTGTTTAAGAACACAGTTTTTTGGAGTTCGACTGATTTGATTTGGAATTGGCTCAGTTACTTACTCTGATTTCAGGAGGTTACTTGAACTGAAAGGCTTAACACAGTGCCGGGCACACACTTGACATTCACAAAATGAAAGTGGCTGCTACTACTGTTATTCTTTTTTTTTTTTTTTTAAGATTTCTTTGTTTTCCCTTTTTCTCCCGAAGCCCCCCGGGACATAGTTGTGTATTTTTAGTTGTGGGTCCTTCCAGTTGTGGCATGTGGGATGCCGCCTCAGCACGGCTTGATGAGCGGTGCCATGTCTCTGCCTAGGATTTGAACCAGCGAAACCCTGGGCTGCCGAAGCAGAGCGCACGAACTTAACCACTCGGCCACGGGGCCGGCCCACCACTACTGTTATTCTTAGTCATATGATTATTTAACCATAAGCAAAGGGAGAGCAATATGAAAACATAGAGCGTTGTTTTCCGAGACTTGTGTAATTATGGCTGCGAGTAGGATGTGCATTGCTGGGGAGTTGGGAGGTACAATGAAAAAGTAGCATAGTGGATGCCCTTGGTCCCCACCTCGATCCCCCTTACTAGCTGACGTACCTCTCCCCGAGGCGCTGTGAGTGTTGTCTGCTATTCCTTCTAGCTGCCCCCTTCTCCAGAGTGTTGCCCTTGGCCAGGGCAGCCGTCTTGCCCAGGTGGTTTTTCCTCACTCTATCCTGCAGCCAATGACTGACTGATAAAGGGATACAAAAGGTCACGCCTTCTGCCTCAAAGCAACACCAACATGTGGTACACTTCATGCTCCAGAGCGCCATGTGGGAGCTGAGCCCCTGAACTGACTTAGCTTTTTCCCCTTGCTCTGTTCTGGTCTACTCACTCCCCTTCTGATAAAACTCCCTCAAAAATAACTTGTACAAGAATGCCTGTCCCATCTCTCAAATCCTGTCTACTTCTACGGACTCCAACCTAAGACAGGTACTGAAATTGGAAAGGTCCTTGGATGCTTGGCTTAGAATTCAAGTGCTATCTGATAGGCATTGGGTAGACTAATGCGTGTTAAAAGGATCACTCTGGTAAAGAGTGGCATAGAAAGTGCCTCGAGGCCTAAGATGGGAGCTTTTAAATGGTTAAGTAAGGAATGATGAATGCCTCAGTCATTTCTCATCGATTGGTGTAGGAGAACAAGATATGAGTCATTTGTAGGGCTTAGTAAGAACTGAGAAGTCTTAGATAATTTGGATTTGGGGAGAAGGAATCAAAGAAATTCCTAGATTTAGTGAGTAGGCAAATAGTTCATTGATAGTTATATCAAGTGTTTTAAAGTGGTTGAAAAAGTAGGACTCACAGGAAGAGGTAGTTTTGGAGAAAGTTAAGGTTTGGCTCTGTTGAATTTACGGTACCTTAGGAATGTCATAGGTGGAAATGTTCAGTAAGTCTCAGGAAATATTTGTCTGCAGTGTGGAAGGTGAGGTCAGGTCAACAACATTAAGGCGATTGTTTAAGTTATAAGAACGTGTAGACCCCAAGATGAAACATTAGGAAGTCCATTTTATTATTTAGAATGTTTTCAGCTGCGAGTATAACAAAGAAAATCTAAAACTGGATTAAGAATAAGGGGAAATTTATTGGCTTATGTATTTGCAAATCCAGTGATGGAGTGGGCTTCCGGTGGCTTGGTCAGGGTTCCAGCTCCATGTTTCTGTTATTTTTTTCACCACCTTCACGTGTCAGCTGTGTTCTGAGTTCTGCTTTCCTCATGGAAGCAAAGTGAGCCAGTGATTACAGGACTCCATCAGCAAACTGCGTACTCTAGGAGAGAAGAGCGTAGGGTCTGCCTTCCTGAGTTCCTGGCAGAAGTCTGAAACTTTGAGCTGGTTGATCAGTTTTGGGGGTGGGCATTGCTACAAAGAGGAGGGTTTACTAATTGGTTAAGATCAGTCAGGGCTTATCCCTGGACGTAGGATAGGGTGGAGTAGGATAGGGCATAGGGAGGGGTGGAGTGGATGTTTGGGAGCAAAGCACAAAATTCACTCTAATCATCTTACTCGTAAGGGACAAACAGGAAAGAGCCAGTGAAACAGGAAAGTGGTGAGAGAGATGGGAGGAGAGCCCTGGAGAAGTACCTCAGCTCAGCGTGGGAAAAACTTTGAAAAGGAAGGACTAAAATAGTGTCAATTCAGATAGCCATTGATTTGATGGGAGCACACTGGTGACCTGACAGCAGTGTCTCTAGCTTGGACGGGTAGAAGTCAGAAGGTTGTCTGACTCATGAGCAATGATATAGAAGCAGTGACTAGGTACTTTTTTTGTTTTTTCAAAGAAGTTATGTGGTAAATAGAAAGTTTAAGAAGTAGCTGGATTAAGGGAGGCTAAAAAATAAATTAAAAAAAATGATTATGGGAGACTTTTCCTCCATGTTTGCTGGATGAGAGGAATGAATTTAGGGTTTGAGTCAGATGGCTTCGGTTTGAGCTCCGGCTGCTGTATGGCCCTGGACAAGTGGCTCTAATGTTAGCCTCTAATGAGTAACAGTCATAGTAAACATTTTACAGGAAAGCTCTAAGGGTCAAACAAGATAATATGTAATAGAGGTTTTTCAACTAAACTGTTATACAAATATTGGTTGGTAGTAAGCGTATTGTTTATTTAAACCCTATCTTCTCATAAAAGAATGTAAGGTATTATAAAACTACTAGTATGGAGAGCTAAAGGTACGAAAGATGGGGGCAGGGGAGAGGGAGACAAAGAGAATATGAATGAATGAATTAATAAAACATGGTCCCTGTTCAGAAGCAGTTATTCCTCTTATCACGGCTGTGTGACCTTGCAGGGTGAAAAGCCCTTAGATTTTACATAATTTTTGTTAGCAGTATTTTGTGTGACCCAAGAGGAGGGCCCCTTGTTAATTTGCATATGTACAGTTTCACTTCCTTTTAGAATGAGGAGAAAGGAACACAGTGCAGAATGCTTATTGTGTAGGTTATCAAGATGGCTTTTGTTTGATGTTGTTGCAAAGTTTAGTGATAATAAATATTTAACAGTAGCAGGTGCTGTCGTTTATATGTCACTAGTATATGATTGATCTTGACTTTGGCTCTAAAGTCAATGCTTTTAGCCACATTCTAGTGTAAATAATTCTAAAATTCTTGGATCATACATTCTTATTCAAGTTGATAGACCTTTTGCAGTCATTAAATACAATTTTATTCCTGTAATTTCTGTGTCTTAGTTAACAGTGTCCCTTTCTGTGCTTCCTTTGAAGCAGTGTGATGTTTTGAAGAAGGATAGGGAGAATAGTGGGACCTCCCTTGTAAGGTGATGGTGAAGATAAAGTGAGCTAAAAATCTTACAATGGTGTCAGGTACTGGTATGTTATGGCTGTAACTATAATTATTAGTTCTTTATAAATACTTGATGTATATGAGAAAGCATTAAATGAATGGGTACTTCAACATAAAGCAGTTGGTGAAAAAATTTTGGGATTTGGTTTTGAATAAATTAAGAAAAATTAAGTTTCCTTAGCTACGACTCAGATTCCATGCTGGTCTCCGTCGTGGGGATGGCGCTGTACACGGGCTACGTCTTCATGCCTCAGCACGTCATGGCGATATTGCACTACTTCGAAATTGTACAATGACCAAGATGTGACCAGAATGGAGAGGTTCCTTGGGGAAGAACCACCCTCTGAAGCTGGAATGAGACTTCATCAGATGTCATAAGAAGCTCTACTAGATGTCAACGTAACCAACCCTCTGAATATAAGACTGAAATTCATGAGTAGAACAGGAAAATTATCCTGACTCATGTGTTGTGTTCTTTATTTTTAATTTTAAAAGAGGCTCTTGTATAGTAGTTTTTGTCTATTTTAACATTGTAGTCATTTGTACTTTGATATCAGTATTTTCTTAACCTTTGTGACTGTTTCAATATTACCCTGTGAAAGCTTTTCTTAATGTAACTTTGAGTACATTTTAATTGCCTTCTATTTCTAAAACCCAAAGTCATTTGTTGGGCTTTACTGTTCTTGCTATTGAATGGCATATACATCTGCCTGGATATATTTCTACTCTTGATTAAAGTTTTGTAAGAAACAATACAGGATTTGGGGTGGGGGATGGGGAGGGAGGATATTTTACTGAGAACTATTTACAAAAGACTTATCTGTAAGTTTGAACTCAGGAGTACAGTTTTAGCTATCTAGACTCTAACAGCTTTTGCTTTAAAACTATTAAAATGTTTCTTAACAATGAAAAAGAGAGACCTTGCTAAAGTTAAAATAAGGAACATTTCACTTTTTAAAATATTTAATTCTTATGTGGACTCATTTCCAGAAAAGTTTGGTGATGACTCTTGCGACGAAAGGTGGTTAAATAGCATTATTATGTAATGCTTGTATACCATAGAGGTTTTAATAGAAAGATATCAGTTTCCTCTGAGGGCCATTATTAGTAATGTACTTCCATAAATTTAGTTTCATGATTGTAATGGGTGCTGCAGATGCATTTGCAGATGACAGTGAGATATGATGAGATGAATTGTTGTTGAAAACTATGGCAAAAAGAAATTTAAACTTGGTTAAAATCCTTTCACTCTTTGTATTTTTTTTTAAAGATTTTTATTCCTTAAATGTAAAATGACTACCTAATTTTTTGATGTAAACTCATTAAATTCACAGAGAAAAATCAGCTGATGTAGCAGTATATTTTTTTCCCTGTTGGTTAAATATTAATCTAGTGTTTATATTTATGAATTGATTGCTGTGGACAGATAAGCAGTAAGTACGTCTTAACATGTCCCTCAACATAAAAGTATTGCTAATTTAAAAAATTAGACATATTTTAACATGCTTCCTAGAATAAATTTTGCTATTTTCTAAAAATGTAAATACTTTTGGCCTTAAATTTTAAGGACTAGACTTTTGAAGTGTTTTCTACTCCAGAGGCATCGAGTAATATATAAATGTTTGGTATTTTTTGTTTTTTCCCTAAAGATTGGCACCTGAGCTGACATCCGTTGCCAATTTTTCTTTTCCTTCTTCTCCCTAAAGCCCTCCAGTACATAGCTGTATATTTTAGTTGTGGGTTCTTCTGGTTGTGCCATTTGGGACGCTGCCTCAGCATGGCCTAATGAGCAGTGCCAAGTCCGCCCCCAGGATCCGATCCAGCAAAACCCTGAGCCGCTGAAGCAGAGCACGCGAGCTTAACCACTCGGCCACAGGGCCGGCCCCTGGTATTTTTAAAGAGTCAATTTCTATCATTACAATTAGATAGAGATGGTGAGGATAATATGTAATTATTTAGTTTTGAAGTAGTTAAAAGTAGTTAGATATGGTTATGTTTGGTTATGGTGTGGTTATAGTATTCATACTGTCTCAAGCCAAACAATGAATATGAGGATTTAACTTTGGATTGGTTCAATTAATGCTCAAATTTGGTTTTCCCTCATTGACACCCCCTGTAGAGAATCATTGACACATGTCTAATATCTGGGTCTCTGATGAGTTGAAGATAGGAAAAGTTGAGAAATACTAGTTTAGATGGTTATCCAGATTACCTATCCTAGCCCTCTACTCAGAAATCTTTAATTCATCTTCACTCTTTGCTGAAATCCATTAAAGTGCTGTTGTATAACCAATGGTTATTATGAAACACTGGCCTGTGAGATACATGGAAGATAAGTTTAGCCTTAGGAGAATCTTGAGGAGAGTCAGAAAGGAAAAAAGGAGCAGGTGCATTGACAGGTAACCAGGGAAGCATATTGTCACCAACTGATGCAGGTGTCTGGTCTTTTATTGGTAAATAACAAATGGGGAGATTGCTCCACTGTATTTGTTTACAAGAAGGTATTTATTAGACAATTCTCCATGGGTCCGTTATGTTTCTGTATGTCTTCCAAGCAGAGGTACTGACTGCTTTTATTCTGGAATAGTCTTCAAGGAAGTTTGTATGATAGAGAAGATAGAGAAGAGATAATGTCTCCCTCCAGAACAAAGGACAGGTTTGCTTAGAGCCTTGGAAAACAGAGGGAAATCTCCTTCTGGAGTAAAGGGCACTTTAAAAGATTTGGGTTCCCTGTGCTCTGGGTTCCTCTCCTGTAACGTAACCCTTTGCATGTATAGGTATTACCTGGCTCTCTTTGCATTGTCCTGTGGGAACTGGGACTTGGGAACCAGGACAAGAAAATGATACTTTTGCTATGACTGAGTAGTACAGTCCTTTGTGTCTGACCCTGGGATCTCATGTCTTCTGCCAGGCCTGACAAAACTGTGACCGACTAACTTGTTAGTTTGCAAGTAGGGTAAGGTCTCAGACCCTTCACAGTTCTTGACAGCTTTGGTGATGAGGATGAGATGCTGACAGAGGCATAGTGTTCTGGAAGAGGAAGGATAATGGCCCTGCAGGCCAAATTGAGAGATGAGACAACTCCCTGGTATCCAGTAGTAAATGCTCTTGCCCGAGTATTGAGTGGGTTAGGGGAATAAGGGTTCCCCACTATCTTACTTGTTAGTTAATGATTAGTGGCTGAGCAGTGAGAGGTACGATTGAAACAGCTGCCTAAATGGTGCATTAGTTGTCGGTTGCTCCTCTGGGCAGCTGTAAGAAGGAATCTTATGAAATGGGACAAAACTAAAGATGATGTGGCTGTGGCTGCTAAGCCTAAGAATCTCCAAAACTGAAATAAATGGTGTCAGTGGTGAGGGACACGTTATTCAAAACAAATCTTTTGGTGGTCTGAAAACATTAGATGTTGATTTGGGTGAGCCATGAGTGAATGGCGACTGAAATTGAATGAAAAGCCTTGCTTATTGGCTCAGAGCTTCTCTCACCCTCTGTGCCCACTTCTCTCTCTGCTTACACCCTGACTTCATTTTCATTAAAGAGAAAGATAATTAAGCCTGGTTGGTCAAGCTATTCACGAGAACGATCTGTTTTACTCCCTCTTCAATGAGGGAAGGCTAGTTTAGTAGTCCAGGTGAGAAAAATATTTTAACTTGGATGAGGGTGGTGGCAGTGGGGGTGAAAACAGGATGTGATGACTAATTAGATATAGAGGGGGAGAGGGAGGAGAGAGTGCAGGTTTCTGTCTTGAGGACCTTGCTAAGGGGTGACAGTCGCTAATATAGGGACTGCGGGGAAAGGGTCAGATACAGAGGTGACCGTGCAGGAACTAAGTGGTTTGTAGATGATAAAGGACTTTGTAAGCCATATTAAGGAGTATGGACATTATCCCAAGAGCAGTGGGGAGTCATCGAAGAGTTTTAAGTGAGGGAGTGGTATCAGATTTGCGTTTTAGAAAGATCACCCTGGTTACAATGTTGAACATGGAGGGGATAAGAACTCTGGTAGGAAAACTATTTAGGAGGCTGTTAGAGTAATTCAGGCAAATCGTAGTGGTCAAAACTAAGTTTGTTGCAATGGAGATGAGATGTGCATAAAACTGAAAGATATCAAGGATAGAGGAGAGATGGAAGTCATAGTTGCTGACCGGATTTTTGGCGGACTCAGTTGAATGGTCAGTGGTTCCATTCATTAAAAATTAATATAAAGAGATGAGTGGGCTTGGCGTAGGAGAAAATGATTTCAGTTTTTGATATGTTGAGTTTGATGTTAGTGGAATATTTGGAGACGTTTAGTAGTCTGATGAATGTGGAGATATGATCCGGAAATGGTCTGGGCTGAAGATATGGATAGATATAGATATGTATCATATGTACTTGGGAATCATAGATAGATGATAATTGAAGTCAAAGGAAAAGATCAAAGTTCCTAGGAAGAGCATAGAAGGCAGAGGTTCTTAATCTGGTGTCTAAGCCTATAAATCTCCTGAAATTATATGCAAAATTATATGTAAACATTCTGGGGCACTTTCCCATTACTTTAATCAGATTTTCAAAGTCATCATTTATTGACTTGAAAAGATTATAATCTGTTATAATTTATATTTGAGTTTTTTGCAATGAACATGAATTAATTAGTTAAGAAAACCTATGGTACTATAAGCTAGATTGGAACATGACAAAATGGGGAAAAACTGGCAATATCTCTGAAAAAGGGTTCACCTTCTTAATCTACAAAAACATTTTGGGAATCAATACCAACTAGAGTTCAACAACCTTTTATTGAAAACTTTTGGGACTATAAATATTTCAGAATTCTGATTTTTTTGGGCTTTAGAAAGGTAAATGTTGTACCTTATTTAATATGCCCAGTGGGGCCCAGGCCATATGTAGTTAACCAAATGCATTTTTAGTTCTGCATTGAAATATATGAAAATTCATACTAAATGAGATAAATAAAACTATAAATAGCGTGCATCAGTCTAGAAAAGATTTGCTGACAAATAAGTTTAGATCAAGCCAGATTTTGCTACCAAATGGGTAGTGAACAATTTAAAATTTTCAGAGTTGTTTTGATTTTGGGGATTGCAGATAAGAGAATGTTGATTTGTACTAACATTTCAGTAAAACATTGGGCAAAGAGCAGACACATCACAAAAGAAGAAATAGGAAATGTCCAGTAAACATATAAAAAGCTATTTAGCTTCAGTGGTAATTAACGAATGCCAGTAAAAAAAGATCTCTTTTGTTACCTGTCAGATTGGCAGAGGTTGATAACGTAGGATTGACATGGGAGCCGGGCACCCTCGTGGTGGAAGCAGAATTCTGAGATGGCCCCATGATATCTGCCCCATAGTGTTATGTCCTCTAGAATCCCCTCCCCTTGAAAGTGGGTAGGACATATGACTTGCTTCTGTGACAACAGTGATGGGATGTCACTTCCATGATTAGGTTACGTTTTACAAGACTATCTTGGCAAACTGGAGAGAAAGATTCTTTTCCTGGCCTCAAAGAAGCAAATAAGCATGCTGAGAACTTACTGTGAAGAGGGCCAGGAGGCAGGGCACTGTGGGTGGCCTCTAGGAGCTGTGGGCAGCCTCTAGCTGACAGCCAGTAAGAAGTCAGACCCCCATGCATACAGCTACAAGGAAGAGAATTCTCCAGTTGAGTGTCCAGATGAGAACGCAGCCCAGCTGACAGTTTGATTGCAACCTTGTGAAACCCTGAGTGGAGAAAAGCTGTACCTGTACTCCTGAACCATAGAAACTTTTATGCTTTTAAGTTTGTGATAATTT